GGAGAATATTACCCATTTGGATTTAGAAATCATTGGTTGAATTTCCAAGGAATGAGATTTAGTGCTTACTTTCATATGATTGTCACCTCTGTATTTACTATCCTGGTATAAGCAAACTTGATCTTGAAAAATTCTGAATACAAATCTAACAATCGATGGGCCAATAACTTATCAATTTCAACATTAAATTCTTGAATTGAAGTACCTTTGATAGAGTAATATGACTGCTTGTTCTCGTGTATGGAATTGTGATTGTTAAGCAGTTTGAGCGTAAGAAGCTTTGAAAGAAACACTTTGAACAGGAAAATACATGGTTTAAAGTTACGTTGAGGTTAAGTCCTCCTGTAGAAATTTAGAATATTTAAAGAAGAACAATAGTAGATCAATATAAAAACAGAATATTCGTAAATAGTTGCACCTTCCGCCTAAGTTATCTTATTTAACAATGATGAATTCTGAAAATTTTTATTAATACATGTTATACATTGATGTAACATAAATGTAACATACAATAAAAACTAGGAGTCTTAAATGGATGACACAATTCCAAAACTTGACACGTAATATCACTTAATTAGATTTTCTTTTAGCAATTACTGCAAATTGACTCTTTTTGAACCTGATGGCATCATCTATCACTAGTAAATTATATGTACTACTTATTTTCAAATATTTTTATTCTAAGCGCATTTTAAGCTTCAAATAGGGTATAAAAAGAAAACTGGGTATCCAATTAACAGGACAAAATTATAAAAATTAGCAATTTAATTCTCTAAAATAATTTTTTTCGCAAATGAAAATTTTTCTGTTTATGAGGTAACAAACAGCGCTGCGGTGTAGCGAAATAGAGGAACTAAACCTTACATGACCGTAATAAAGAAAATAATTTTAATTATTTACACAAATAATTTACATTTGTTACGTATATATTTCGAAGATGAGGTTATCAATTACGATCACAAATAACCATAACTCCAATATTCAATGTAATTTGCGAGAAATTGCACTTCACTAACAATGAATTATCAATCTATTAAACAACTTTAACAATTTTTATCAATACACTTTGAGAAGTAAATGGAACATAAACTGAAAGCTAGTGGTTTTCAAAGGGCGGTACAATTTCAGAAATTGACAAGTTATTCCTCTTGATTAGAGTTTTCATGTTTTTTGTACAATCTGTCACAGTTTGAATATAGCATAGACGAAGTATTTGAATAGACATTGTATGACCATGTATTGTCGTGGCCGGCAATAAGGTCGACATAACCTTACCATTTTCGTGTCACATTCTGTTGTACCGATTTTGCGACTGCAGCATTACCAGTGAAGAAAATTAAAATTAAAAAGTATGAACAGTGTTCAATCTCATTTCCTTGGAAATTCAACCAATGATTTCTAAATCCAAATGGGTAATATTCTCC